TTTTACCCATAATGTTGTTTTTATCCACAAAATTGATGTGGCTTGTTTGGTAATGGATAATTTAGCAATATAAAACCTGGGCTAAGAGTCAGAGCAAACCTAATTTACTCTTTGCCCTATTTGGTCATCTAAACGTCTGTTACATTTATCAACTCCCCGGTCACTGTGGATGCTAGCTATTGTTAGAAATGACCTTTGCTTCTGTCTCTCAGTTTTCCTTTTCTCCTGACCCAGTAGCTGCTTTCTTCTTAGTTCAGCTGTAATCGATGTGTGTCTTCATTACAATTTACAACACAGAGCTTGCATGATGTATAGTTTTGTAAGAAGCCAGAAGTTAGTAATGCATGGCCTGGTTCAAGTTCTCTCTTCAGTGCATGCTCTCTCTCTCTCTCTCTCTCTCTCTCTCTCTCTCTCTCTCTCCCCCTCCCTCTCCCTCTCCCTCTCCCTCTCCCTCTCCCTCTCCCCCCCTCTCTCATTTACCTATTTATATATTTACCTGTATATTAATTTGTTGACAGATGATCAGTAATGTGTGATTGAAACCAAATGCAGGTGCTCACACACACCTTAAGCATAAAGACAATGACATATTCTACAGGAAGTGGTGGGAAGTGAGGAGACGGATCTAAACCAAGCTTGGGAGAGATGAAATATAGGCATATAAAAACACAGTTGCTTCAACAGAGACACAAGAGATGTATCTAAGTGTGAAGGAAAGGCCCCCCTGCTCCAGGGCTGGGGAGATCATTAGGACGGCCAGTCTGCTCCTCCGGAACTGGCTTTCATCCACCTGGCTGGCTGGTCTCTCAGGACCCTTCCTCAGTCTGCTCTGTCTGTTTCATTAACTTTTTCTGGTCCTCAAGTCAGGCCTGGCATTTCCTTTCTGGAGCCTGAGTCATGGTCTTCCTTCCACCTAAAGAGCCCATCTTCCGCTCACCACCTCAGGGAAGTCTCTTTAGATTCCAGAAGGAGTTCGGGACCCACTGTTTTCCCACTGTCCTATGTTCTGTGAGGAACCTTTCAATGTTAGAATTAAACAAGCAATGTAAAATCAGGTGCCAGTGTGCTTTGCCTTTCTTGAGGTGTTATGCTAAAAGATTACAAAGGAGATTTGCCTTGGTTGCTAATACATTATTTACACCCTTGAGAAATAACTTGCATGCAATAGACAATTCATTAATAGTTAATTATTTATTAATCAATATTTATGATATAATAATAAAAATATAAAATTTATAATAAATAATTTTTTAAAAAATGAATAGCTTTCATTTAGCCATCTCATGTAGCCTAGGTTAGCCTTGAACTGTCTGTGTAGCTAAGGATGATCTCTTAAACTCTTGCTCTTCCAACCTCTACCTCCCAAGTCCTGGAACTGCAAGTATGTGCTACCATGTCTGGTTTAGTAAGTGTTTTTGTAAGAGAAAGCCTTGCTATGTAGGCCAAGTTACCTTAAACTTTCAACCATGCAGCCTTTACCTTCCAAGTGCTGGAATCAATTAATGGTGTGCCCTCTCTGTTCTTGGTTCTCAATTAATAATGGATCAACCAAGTTGGCATTTAGGATACTTTTTTTCCTCTGACTTTCCCTTTCCCTTCTCCAGTACCCCTAGCTCCCCTTCATTTAAATGTTGTTCTTATAACTTCTCCTCTGTTTGGTTCTGTTCTCTTGCCCAGGCTTATGAATCTGCCCCCTTTTCTTCCCCTCTGTACATTTTATTCTGGGGAAATAATGAAGTGCTTCAAATAATTCCTCGAGAGTCATCATTTGGACCTAATTCAAAGCGTCACTTCCACAGGTACATCAGTACCACCCAGGAGCTTTGTCTAAAGTTGCAGTCTAAGACCCATGGTACCACAGCGTCTGCCCTGTTGTGAAGGCGAGTGTTTCCTACAGATCTGCAAATGGAAAGAAAAGCACACTCACTCACTGCCATCATGCGGCCTGGACTTGGGAGAGGTGTTGGTGAACAACAGTGACAGGAAGCCACATTCTGAGGAACAGTCTTGAGACCACAGTGCTGGGCTGTCACTTGTGGAAAGAGGTGTGAGAATCTCTTAGGCAGGAAGAGTCAGGCTGCAGTGCTGGTCTTTCTCTTGCCAGGTCTTGGCAATTCCTTGTTACCAATGACTGTTAGCAGAATTCTAGGTTCGGGTGCAGAGGCCAGATCTTAGTGATCCTGCTGGGTAGACACCAGCCCAGGAGGAAATGGGACTTTACAGAAAGGCTAAGGCAGAGATAGAGGCTGGGATACTCCTAACTAGGGGATGTCAGCTAACTTCCCTTTTCAGTCAGCTAAAAACAAGGATCTTTCCTGAAGGGAGGTCAAAGCAGCTTTCCTATGTGGCTGCCACATGTGACACCTGAAGCAACTCAGCAGGAAATCTGGGGTAGTGTCTAAGTGTGTAAGAAACTAAATTAGAATGAAGGAGGCCTGACTAATGTACTTATGTCCTATCTTCTTATTCTGCCAGGAATAGTCTTCTCAAAAGTCCCAGGAAGACACACCACAGAGAACTCTCCCCCTAGGGAGCTCAAGGGTGGCTCATATGAATCAATTTCATCTTTGTATGCACAAGATGCATCATTCCGTGACAAGATATAGGGCCATAAATCTCTAACCTCATGCTCCACGATCCCAGCAGGGAGCCACCTAACTCACTGGAAAGAGGAGGCTGCAGGTTTTAGGCAGTAGTGAAAAACTTGCCTAGAATGTATAAGGTTCTAGGTTAGACTCCTTAATAAATGAAGAAGTAAGTAAATAAACCACAGGACTGTGGAGTGGAGAGTGCAAGGTTGCAGGGCTAGCTGCTGACACCTCCTCATGTCACCTGTCACATCCACACTCAATCCTCATCCTTGGATATCTGCAGACACCATATACAGGGAGTCACATTTGGCCAGGTGTCTGCACACGCCCGGTTCTCTGCAACCGTCTTGTGCATATACACTGATGAAATCACATCCTCTGCATTTCTAGCGGTGACGCAAGTTTGTGTGCCCCTTGTTGTTTCAACAAACTCAGCTTCAGGTTTCCAAAGCGCCTGTATTTGTAAACTCATTCACAGACAACAGGTCATCCCTGGAGTCGAATCTCAAACAGTAGGCAGGGAAAGAAACTAGACAATATAGTCAGACACTCAGAATCACAGTAACTCTCCACAAATGTAAAAAGCAAAAACATGTAGAGGAAGATGTATCTAAAATTGCCAGACAGACCTTGAAAAATCGCTCCCCCCTTTGGCTTTTGAGGACCCCAGAGACTAAAGACAAGGGCAGAGTGTAGGGGGAGGGGCGAACTGGTGTCCCAGCCTAGGACTCTATCTTTATCTTACTCTCCTGCCTCCTGCAGAAGAATGGCCTCAGGCCAGATGTGAGGAGGGGAGAAAGAAGCAAGCTCCCCAACCCCAGCAGCTAGGGTTTGAATCTCAGCCTTGACACTTTCTAGTTCTGTGGCCGTATACAATGTAGTCCATCTGTCTGCGCCTGAGTTTCTTTGTATATTGAAGATAGTAGTAGTACTTACTTACAAAGTACACTGATACAGAAACACACAAGTCAAGAATGACCTGCACATACCAGCAGCAAATAAGTCCCTCTCACAGGCCTCTGCCTGCTTCTCTTTACACAGGTCTCTATGCAGTCACTAGCTGAGAGCTTCTCCGATGCACAGTTACTCTCCACCAGGATTTACTGCCCTCTGTTTTCTCATTGTGTGTTTTTCTGAAAGAGTATTAGGTGAGGAGGTTGGAGGGATGGGAAGAATGCAGGGTCAGGGGATCAGACAGCTTCTCTCTTGATGAGGCTCCCTCTGGGTCCATACTAGCAGATCGGATCACCAACATCTGGATGAAGAAAAACAGGCTTAAGGGTTTGCTGTGAAATCTCAGTCTCCTGCCTTTCAATTGGTGTGTAGATAGATTGAAAGAGTTGCACATGCCTGTGTGTGTGTACAACACACACACACACACACACACACACACACACACACACACACACACA